GATATAACATTATTTAATGTTGAACGACGTACTGCTTGAGAACACGTTTCAACAATTTTTGACCCTGTATCCTTGTGAGGCAGTAAAAGTAACTGCAGGAGTGGTAAAGAGATCCTCAACCTCCTATCGGCTAAAGGATCAGAGCTTTCTTAACTGCATCCATGAATGGCACAAATGTTGGCACACAAGATTAAATATTATACGGTGAGTGGTGCCTAGGAAGGTCTGCCTAACAGGAGGCTGAAGAGGGTAAGACTTTGAAGCTGAAGTTACAACAGTAAAACTGACACCCATCCACCACTCACTGTTTACATAAATACTAAACTTTTCAATTCTTCTTTGATAAAGAATCAATCTCCTATATCAAATTGTTTTCAAATACTTAATTTATCAAGCCAATAAAAACTTAAAAGATGAAGAGATAAACCAGTTTTAGCTAAATCCTGCTAAAATTACTCAACATATTTCCTTAGATAGATATAGAAGTGATTTCTTTTGCTTGTGATCTCTTAAGTATATGACAATTATACGGAGAGAATAATTGTCTACTTGCATAATCTTATTCATCTGGTGATCACCGTCACAAATGCCTACACTAACAAAAATCTTCCTAAATTTATATATAATGGTTTATTTGAGATACAAGATGCAGGCTTTTGCCATCAGGCAATTTATCAGGGACTAACAACTGCGAAGGTATAAACATCATAAATTATTATAATGTTCAGTTTGAAGCATATAAAGATTTATCTACAGATTTTTATATAAACTAATAATAGAAATTCATATAATGAATGAAACATAATAATCAAAATGTTTACAGATCCTTAAAATCAAAAGATCAACTATATTATTAAGAGTATGATAATGTATACCGGACAAAATATATATATATATGTATATACAGTACTGTATACACAGTATATATATATATAAAACTTCCTCAATTAATAAATGTTATAGTACAAAGGTTTCTCATTTATAGTTCTACTAATTATCTTAGAAAATGAGCGACAGTAGCAGCATACAAGGGATGATACCAACACTGTTTACCCGGGTTAAGCATGTCCTCCATCATAAGGCTGTAGGTACCACACAGGGTGCAGAGCTGATGTACGACACTACTACTGGAAAACTTTTAATCCATCTTGGTGGTGAATTCAGTTCTTTCTGAGGGACTAGTGAGAAGAACTGAACCACAATATCCCCCTAGTAGGACTTGAGAGGATGAATGTATGCTGGGAGACTACAGCCAGCTGGACTACGACCATGCTACAGGGTGAGCTATGAGAAATCAGAGAGGAAGAAGGAGTCTGGAAGGAGGCGGGGAGGCGGCAGATGCAGGCTGTGTCGTAGCGTTCTCACTGCAACAAACACACCACAGCACTCACTACACACTCACATTAGGGACAAAACATGACTATTCAACACTATTAGTTTACCACAAAAATACTCACATGACTTAATAGTGAAAAACACAAGTTTAATTTACTTCTAATGTTAATTGGTAGGTTGAACTACAATGTTACTTAGAGTAAGTGATCAAACCATTATTTTAATTAAATTGAATAAAGCAGTGACATCACAGCATGCAATACCAGTGTTTAAGTTTCTTTAATTGTCCTTCTTATGGCATTAATGGGAGTCATGGACACATCAGAAGAGAGCCATATCAATTTAGAGTATTATATTGACATTATGACCTTTGCAGTTTCATTAAAAAAGTTGATGAATATAGTAGAGTAAACCCTCTAACTACATGATCAATGCAGCCATAATTCTTCTTAACATGGCAAATGAATGTAGGATGACCCCCCCCTTCCCAATGGGTCTTCTTGCATTAACACTGTTTCCTCCAGGGATGAGTATCAATCAAGAATGAGCTTTGTATGCTGTACCCGATAGCATAAGTACAAATGAGTGTACACCTTGTAACTCAGCTCGAGAGCACCAATCAATGGCCACTAGGTTGGTGATTATAACCAAATCATAATATGTCTAGACTTGATGGAGTGTTTGCTTGCTCATGAGCCACAGAAATGTGTTTTGTTGCTGTAAATGAATTGCTCTAGGTAGCTGTGCAATAATTTAAGCTAAGACATTTACAATGAGTGATTAAAATGATATCATTATATATCAGGAGAGAGTGCAAGTGTTGGGAAGAGATCAAGGCATGGATTAGTGATGCATAACTACATGGTATTCATTATTTCTTCATAGAAATAGTGAATAACCTGGCCAGAGCAATGTATAAAGAATGTAATTGTATGATATTATGACGATTCCATAAACAAGACAAGAGTTGGGGCTGCAAATGTAAACCAACATTAATAAAAAAAATTAAAACCTAAACCCAACCTTGCCTAAAGAGTATTATAGCAGACAATCAGTAGGTAGAGTAAGCCTGGCTGATTCATTTTTGTCATCATGAACAGTCTATAATCACATCTCCTCTGACTCCTGTTTTGTTTACAAATCCACTGTACTTCTCATGCCTATATTCACAGTACAGCATTTTCATACATTTACACTTTTTCTACACTATTATGGCTGATAGACATGTTGTTTCTAGGTACAGTATTCATAAATATTAAGTACCAGTATGCTTTTTGTAAGAAAATTTCATAGTTTGACCACGTACTGTATAGAATTACAGTACTGGTACATGTAATACTAATGAAGCCCCTCGTATCTTACACTCCAATTAGTAAAGCTGCAGCAAGTAACTAGCAAACACGAATACAGGTACAGTACGCCCAACTAATTTGCACATTTTTATTTCACGGTCCTCTATTATTCGCAGATGACACCCTGGATGTACCCAAAAATATCTAAGGGGATTTTTAAAGTTGCTGGCATTTTCACGGCAGGGACAGGGAGCCATTCGTTCTAGAGACCGTAATTTCCTTTACCTGTATTGTATATAAATGTGTGTGTGTGTGTGTAGACACACACACACACATATATATATATATATATATATATATATATATATATATATATATATATATATATATATATATATATATATATATATATATATATATATATATATATATATATATATATATATATATACACAAAGGGAATATGCCTTTCTTTGTACACAAGTAAAAATGTACCCCTCCCCGGTCAACAAATGTTATTCGCGGATTTGGCAATTTGCAGCTATTTTGAGAACCTAACCCCCATGAATTTGAAGGGCATGCTGTATTGTAATTAAGAAATACTTTATTTATGAGATATTAGCAATGCTGCTCCCCTAGCAACACAAAGAATTGTATGAAGTTTTCATAAACTAAAAGGTTTTTATGTGCAAACTTTTTTTCACGAGATAATATACGGAAGGCCTGAGAACATACACATAAAGAGTTGGGCCTATCAGAGTATGTTTGTATCTAGTTCATATGTCTGGCAGCTGCCTGTACACTTCATTTATCCTAAGGTGCACACACTCTTGGATGTAGTACGTCTTTGTTTATTTCTCCTGTTGTTTTATGTTATATTTTGTATTATTGGATTGATATATTCTTATGTCTTTATTTAACCTTAAATTATAATGCTTTTTTTTTCTTATTCTTTTTTTGTACTCTAGCTAGAACTGGAAACCATCAGGTCCCAGATGGCTGCTTCCGAGTCTTGACCATCATGATGATTTAAAAAGGTACAGGAGTAAGAGGACACCTAGGCACTGTTGCTTGAGGAACATACACAAAATGAAGCAAACACTATGAACCACTTGACAGTCTCAATCCAGTAAACATTCCCACCACACCGGGCTACAAATATCCTGCGGTGGCCGTGGAAACCCACAGATACTTAAAACTGGAGACTTTGGTTGGTAAAAGTGTAAAATTTTTTAAACATATACCGTATACTCAAAAGCTATGCCGGTTAACCCGTGATTGGAGAGAGATTACTGTACTATGTTCAGCAGTGCATGTCCCTTTATGCATTTACCCTAATTGTACTATCTAAAGTTAATTCCTCAATGTTTATTAATTATAATAAAAATTATGATTTCTAAAGCATTTGAGAGTTTTCTCCCAAACAAATGTTATCCTGATCATAGCAGCCTTTACTGAATACAAGGGGAGGTAAGCATGATGCTGGACTTACTTATACAAGAAGTACAAGCAAAAATAAAATTAATGTAAGAGCTAATGAACATAATAAGTATTGGTGCCCAAAAGGCAACCATCAAGAGCAACCATGGCAGGTTTTACTATGGTTAACTTAATCGGCTGAAATTTCATAATAAATAAATTTTAAATAAAATTAAATCAAGACAACTGACCAAAATGTTCCTATTGGACACTAAGCAATTTGGCCAATTCAGTTAAGATATTTATATTATCCTATCCAAGTTGCACGGAGTGACTCACTTCAGATACAATATGGTTATTTTTCATACTCTCTCCAGTGACACCAAGATAGCTTCCTCTGTGCTTAAAGGCTATTATAATAAGGTAAACATATGACATCAATAGCAAGTTAATTTTACTGCAATTTGAGATTAATTAAGTTATTGCCTTGATCACTTACCCTAAGTTTTTCTTTCAGTTTAAGATGTCAAAATTTTTAAATATTGTTATCTATTGCTGTCCTGGTATGAAACAAAATTAATGATAAAATTTGGCTTGAGCAAAACACAAGCTTGTTATGCAGAACTGGAAAGTTATCTTAATGAGGTGGTAAGCAAAAAAAAAACAAAGGCAACTACTTTAAACTGGATATAAACAACTGAAATTTGACTCATAAAAAAATAAATAAATAAATAAACTAAAAATTAATGCATGTGTGCTTATACATCTAGAAAAGTTTTACCAAGTATATAAAACCAAATAGATATTGATATTTTCATTAAATTCATTTACACTGTTGAGTCAAATTTCAAAGATGTTAATCTAAAATACCAACAACAGAAAGAAAAAAAAAGCATGGTGTTGCCAGTGATTGAATCTCTTGATCCTGGGATGATAACACTGTTTACTTCGTACCTCTCGGCAGTGTACCAAATGGAGTCGAGGCTTCTGAGAACAGTGTGTCAGCATCAGAGGTGTCCCGGGAAACACTGCGTGTCCACAGTGGAGAGCTGAGTCCCCCTAATGTGTCATCATCTCGCCCGAGGCTACTACGCGACATTGTCTCGGAGATCCTCCTGTTAAGTGCGATGGTAAGTTAGTCAACACCAAGGTATAAAATGTCTTACCTCTTGTTGTGATAGATATATAATAAAGCTAATAAATATATAGAGGATAATATTAGATATTAAGCTCCTCATGCATTACACACATGCATCCTCTCGTGACACCCAGGGCGAGAATGAGTACAAGTTCTGTATTACTGCCCCCTCCTCCTCCTCCATAAAAAGAATAATGACAAAATGTATTATATTTCCTGAGGTGTAGACTAACTGATGTATACTGACCGAGGTGTAAGCTGACTGAGGTGTAAACTGACTGCAGTGTAACCTTATTAAGGTGTAGACTGACTGTGGTGTAGTTGACTAACTGATGTGTATAGTAATGCTTCACCATAAAATGATACTCCTAAAAACATTTAACTTATAAAAACATCCAAATACATTGAGGTGGTACAAGTTTTGTGTAGTGGTCGGTGTCTTACAATTGAACACAATTAATTCACATATTAGCTGAGGTACTGGACCTGGCAGGTGAGTCTCGAGGGGAGTTGTAGAGAGATGACCAAAAGCCAGAGGAAGCTGAGTGAGCTGCTCCAATTCCTGCACTGCTGGGAGCCATGTTAGGCTCTGGAGTGGGTCGATTTGATGATCGGCGGCTCCTTTCATTTCGGATTTCATCAGCATTCATCTTGCGAGTTAATGAACGGACTCGGTTAAGTAGAGTTGAAAACAGGGATTCAGCAGTGAGGATTTGGAAACCATCATCTTCATCTTCTTCTTCTTCTTCTCCTGCTGAACTGAAGCTTTCACTGTGATCCAGAAGGAATCCTCGCCCTCGACTGTACAATGACATGAAAAAGTCAAGAGGTATATTAAAAATACAATACAGTATTTATGTTATGAGTCACAGTTACCCCTCATATGTGATCACAGTATTAAATAAATTAACCGTGGCAATATAAAATCCTTACCGAGCTTTAAATCACTCCGTCTGCTGCTGTTAAATTTGTTCAACTCATTGTCAAAATCTTTTGTGATTTGCTTAAAAAAAATTCCATCCATTACACATCCCACAGTTAATTCTAAACAATAGAGACCATTCATTCTCTTCTCCAATTTTCCACAATTACCATTCTAATCAACAAAATGTGATTAGACAATAACAATCCTCAATACAACCTGCCAGATCACATCCTATTTTGCCATTTGTGTCCTTCCTTTACTGTTACTCTCATCCCTTAATTCCAAAACTTGAATAACCTCATTATTGAATTCCATATCCAGTTGCCCAGCTTCAGTCTCTTGTAATGAAGGTAAAAAGAATGAGGATTACTATGTAATTCTCACAAGCATTATGAGCCTGAGATGATGAGGTGCTGGAAGTTTATGGGGAAACATTAGTGAATTACCTCACTTCAACCATTTCCAAGTGACCAATTCCTCACTGTAATGCCTCAAAATAATTACAGTCAGTTTCCCAACCTCCTCATTTCTGATCTCTCCCATATACCTAAATATTTTTCTTCCCTAATACAGTATAGTACTATTAGAGTGAGTGCTGATTCCCTTCCTCTATAATTTAATGATTGACATACAGAATTAACCTTATGCATATTTTGGAGAATCACCGATTTTGCAAACTGCTATTTTTTTCTGCCTGTCAGTATCTATTAAACTATACTAGACTTACAATAGGATGGCATTATATTGTCTGAGTAATGCAAATAATTACAGAAAAGTAACTGAAGAAATTTTCATTCTTGTAGGTCTGATGAAACACTGCTGGTCTAACCATACTGTAGAAACACAAATCCCATGTACAGTATATGATCAGTGACCTTTAGAGAGGAGGCTTTTTGGGGAGGAATAAGAAATTTTGATTATTGTTTCTGGGTAGATATGATGCCAGAGATATGTAGGGTACTAATCAACGCCTCTGAACCTGATAGGAGTCCGCTAACATTGTCATACAATATTATTGAATCATGAGATCACATAATTAAACTATATATTGGATACTAGGAGGTAAAAATTAATTACACTATTCATTGCAATTTAATACTATATTTTTATATCATGCAGAGTGATAAAAAAATAATGATAAACAAAAAAGCTCCCAGCCATGCAGCAGCACAAGTACCTGTTAGTGTGAGAGAGGCGTCGCTGCCACACGGGCACCGGACCAAGGTCAGCCGGAGCCCTACGAGGTAGTGGAGGACAGGACACAGTGCCCGTGGGTGACAGTGGTTCACTCTCCCCCTCACCTTCTGTCATTCCACTGCTGAGCCCATGTCACCAAGCATGAGCAATGCCATTAGCAATAGCATGAAGCTTTAGTACAATAAGCATTCAGTCCTTAAGAGCTTTCATTTACCACGGAGGGAAAATCCTTAAGGTCTTAAACACTACAGATTGAAACTCAACTAATTGTAAAACACCAGTAATTATGTCTTTACAAAATGTGGGAACAAAACTATTAGAGCTATCTGTCATTCTACTAAAAAATACAATACTGTATTAGGAATTAAATATCATTACGGATCAACTAAGACAAAATATATAATTACTTTCCTATTACAGCATATGATAAAGCTCTTTGGAAGGATCCATGAAAATGAAGAAAGTTAGCTGTTGTTAAATTTATAAGTCCAGTACTATGATATCGAAGTTTGAAAGCATATGGGAGTTGGTTCTACTATACACGTGTTAAGGCTTGTATAATTATGACGCAGTATACCTGCACGGTGAAGTTCACAACTTTGTGATGCTTCTAATGGCTGTTTCATTAAGTTTGACACTGGAAGTGGTCAATAGAATATATCCATTAATGAGAGGAAGTTGGCCTAAACACTATACTAAAATATTTACTCTTCATCACAGGTGAAGTATTTTCTTATTGTACCTAGAACATTGTATTTGTCAATGTATTATAACTGACAATTTACACAAATAATTAGATGAGGCATAAATAGTTTTGATAGGTAAATGAAAAATCTTAATTAAGTTTAGTCCCTTGCTACTTTCATCACAGCTTCATTCAGTGGTCTGCCTCACTTTCCCTAACTCTCAACTGTTCTTTCATTCTCATGGACATGTGTGTAAGTGTCCCCAGTCCTGAACTGGCCACTTTTCTACAAGTCCACAAAATTCAATGTAAGTGGAGACAAATATAGCGCTAAAGACCTCCCTATTTCACCCTACCTTCTTGTTAAACCAAGATTTCCATTCCCCAAGCCAGGAAGGACCCTATACAAAGTTGAGTGTCTCCAGGAACCTTGCACAACAACCCAACACCAACTCCCAAAATCTTATCAATGAAGGATATTTCCAATTCTCTTATCACGTATTGCAGTCCTGAATTGTGTCTTTTTTCTGTTTTTTGTTCTACTTTATGCTTGTGTCTGCTTGTAAGTGGCAACCACTTCACCAATATATCATGTTATTATCCCTAGTTGTTGAACTAGGTTACTGTATCACACAGGTGACAGCCACACTGCCATGTAACAATTTTCAGGAGATTTTTCAAAATTTGTTTCAGTTTCTCTTTTAACCTAAGAGGGTGTATAGATCAAAAACTATAGTATATGACTGGGAATTTACAAGCTTTTTATAGTTCTTAAATTCGTAAGGTGAGGCACTGATATAAAAGTGTCTGCTAAACTCTTCCTTCATAAACTTAAACAACTTGGTCCTTAACACTAACTCATATTCTGTTCAAAATACCAAAAAATATTAATGTATAAGAAAACTTATTACATTCATTCCTCTACATAAAAAAATAAGAGAAAATATTCCTTTTACACTGACTAAAGCATTAATTTTCATTAATTACATTAAATCAAGAAAATAATCAGAGGTTACCCAGCAATAAACCCAAGTGATAGTTATTCTTCTCAACAGCAGACATGCACAAGACTAGACTTCAGCTTTAATAGGAAAATAAAAGAAATTATATCTTACTTAAGAGCTGTGGGTCTCCCTGATAAAGTGCGTGAAAATGCTTGATGTGCCCGAGCTGCTCCAAGTTCTGCCGCTTCTTCTACATGAGGGGGAGGAGTGACGATGCCTTCTCCCTCAACTGCTATTGGAATAATTCGTTCCCGACGAGACTTCCTGTAAATATTATGTCCAGAATTCCATCATACATGTGTAGAGGTAAAACATTTTAGATCTCTTCTCCCTTCAGCCCTTACCTAATGACAGGATGAGGATAGGCACAATATTCATGAAGTCAGTTTAAAAGTGGGGAATAATATTTAGGGAGTATGTCAACAATAATCAGATTCTCCAACAAAAGTGATTAAGAGCCAATTCCATTATCCATGTCTACTGCTCTTCTGTACACCCTGCTCAGTCTGTTAACACTACACACACTCTTACTATATGTGGCCTTTACAGTCATGTCCCTCTAAAACTCCATCTTTCTCATATTTTCTTTTAGTTGCTTGAATCTTTCTACAATTTACTACTTAATATCCTATTTAACAATTATTTTGAACATCTTTCTTTGCATAAGGATAATTATTGCATTTGACAGTTCCCTGGTGCACTACTTTCAATCTCTCTTCTCATACAGACTAAATAGTGTCTCATCATTCCTTTCCCTCAATATCCCACCATTTACTTAATTCACTCCAAGAGCTTGATTGTACTTCATTGTTCATATAAATTATTTCAACATGACTTCCTTCACACATTGGTTTCTGTCTCCCCTTTACCCTCATTCTTCACCTGAAGCAAATGCTATGTACTAGGGATTCACCTAAATATCTAATACACAGTAGGCCTAAGATTTCATAATAAACTCCTTCCTCACTATAAAAAGAGCTCTATCTAAATAAATTCACTTTTTGCAACAAAAAATTCATTATGTATGATGTGTAGTTTACTATAACATAAATTTTGTAAGAACAGTTCCTCCTACTTCTCTCTATTCCTTCACACACACACTGTTCACTAAAGATCATGACACCTCCAAAATGTCTTGCAAGTTCTTCTAAAATTCAAGAATCCCCGATGAAGAAATCTTGGAAGATCCTAACTCTGGAAACCTAGTTTCAAGTGCTTAGAAAATCTAAAAGTAGTGAGGAACCCTCAATAAGCAAATGCTCAACTGGAAGGAATGCAGACAAGATTATGAACTCAATGGTTCAGTCAACTTGACTATCACTGTGGCTAGTAGTTAGCCATCATACAGGGAGGTACTATCGCCTGGGAAGATATTGGAAGCATAATGGTAGACCCTGCTGCCATATGGTATCAAAAAAATTGTGACCAAGTCCTAGGTTGCTGATCTGTCTTTCTGCCTCATTTACACACAATTGCTGGGTCTCAATTGTTTCTCTTACTTTGACAACACAACATACATATACAGTATTGTTTCTCACTACAGTATTGATCTTTTTTTGGTCTGTGTATTTATTTATGGTCCTTTATTATTATTATTATTATTATTATTATTATTATTATTATTATTATTATTATTATTATTATTATTATTTTATTATTACAGTATTACCCCGCCTAACGCGGTTTCACTTAACGCGTTTTATCATATACGCGGTGCCTCGCCAGAGCTGAACTTTCACTTAACACGGATTTTTTCCACATATACGCGGTGAGTGTCCGAGACGCTATTTTTAGATTTGCCCCACCCGCCACCCTGCCTGACTGCCTGTTTTAGCTCATAAAATTCATACAAATTACCAGGCCAGAATATAATTTACATTGCTGGAATTCTTATAATTTGGTGATCATTTTGAATATAAACATCATATATTTTGCTTTAAACTTACAATTTTTAGATAAAAAATTTTCTCTAGGTAACTATGGTATCTTTTGTGCAAAATATATGACATTTATATTCAAAATATTCCTGGTCTTACAAGGAATCCAGCAATGTCAATTATATTATCCTAACTTTAGTTTGAGGTATTATTTATTAAAATTTAGTGGTTATCCCACACATCTCCTTGGGACGGTTGGTGGGGGGTGGGGGGGAGGGAGGGACCAACCGACCATCTGTTACCGTGTGAAGAATTATTATTTTTTTTTATTAACTGAAGATATTTGTTTTAGCTCATAAAATTCATACAAATTACCCGGTCAGAATATAATTTACATTGCTGGAATTCTTATAATTTGGTGATCATTTTGAATATAAACATCATATATTTTGCTTTAAACTTACAATTTTTAGATAAAAATTTTTCTCTAGGTAACTATGTTATCTTTTGTGCAAAATATATGACATTTATATTCAAAATATTCCTGGTCTTACAAGGAATCCAGCAATGTCAATTATATTATCCTAACTTTAATCTGAGGTATTATTTAATACTAAATGTTAAAAACTCTGGAAGGGAGGATTGGTGGGGGGTGGGGGGGAGGGTTGGGACTGACCGCGCGGTTGGAAGAGGGGGGGAGGCAAGGTGGGGTACTTTGATTGACAGATAGTGTCGTGAAGATTATTTTTTTTTTTATTAACTGAAGATATTTGTTTTAGCTCATAAAATTCATACAAATTACCCGGTCAGAATATAATTTACATTGCTGGAATTCTTATAATTTGGTGATCATTTTGAATATAAACATCATATATTTTGCATTAAACTTACAATTTTTAGATAAAAATTTTTCTCTAGGTAACTATGTTATCTTTTGTGCAAAATATATGACATTTATATTCAAAATATTCCTGGTCTTACAAGGAATCCAGCAATGTCAATTATATTTTCCTAACTTTAGTTTGAGGTTATCCCACACATCTCCTTGGGACGGTTGGTGGGGGAGGGAGGGACCGACCGACCATCTGTTAGCCGGCTGTGTAGTGTGAGAGGGGGAGGGAGTTGAGTCCATTATTTGAATGGACATTAACTTGGCGACTGTATTTCTCTATTTCTCTTAAGTATTAATTGTGTGCATGTACCATCATAAAATTAAGATGTTATTTTTACTACAACATAGGTATGTGCCTTCAAAAAGTGGAGTTTGGGGGTCGGGCCGGTTTCTATTGGAATTAATCCCATATGTTCTGTTGTTCACTTAACGCGGGACCCTCTGGGTTCAATTGACCGCGTTAAGTGGGGTACAACTGTATTATTATTATTATTATTATTATTATTATTATTATTATTATTACAGTATTAAATTATATTATACAGTGGTCCTTTGATTAACGAACACAATTGGTTCCACAGAGTCGTTTGTTAACCGAAAATTTCGTTAATTGAATCCATTATTTCAATGGGATATTGGGTAATTGGTTCCAACTCACAGAAAAAGTACATACAAAGTACTGTATACCGGTAATAGAATTAACAAAACATTAAATATAAACTAAATACAGTACTGTACTGTACAGTATAATGTATAACAATAAATAAAAACAATAGAATACTGTATTTTAACTTACTTTGAGGTGTGTATGTCGTACTACCAGCAGCTTTGTTTACATATCAAACAGCTGATTGTAGAGGCAGTCGATGATGACATGCCATATTCTTTACACAGTGCAATGGTTCTAATGCCTTCTTCATGTTTCATAATAATTTCTACGCTGTATATTATCAATATGTTAATTAAATTTCAGAATGACCAATAATTTTAATGTAAAAATGCAAAAATATTCAAGAGACCAACAAACTCGGTGTTCACTTCACTGTAAACAAAGTTAAACTGAGAAGCGTTGGTGGGCAATTCAATCAGCAGAAGGGCACACAAAAACTGTTCCCTATACTGTATATATTATCAATATGTTAACTAAATTTCAGAATGACCAATATAAAAAATGCAGAAATATTCAAGAGATCAACTTTCTTGATATTTACTCCACTGGAAATGAATGTAAACATAAAACCGATTACTGTATTGGTAGACTGGCCGATCAGCTGATCAGCTGATGCTCACAACAAAACGTGTTTCTCGTAATGCTTTCGTTAATCAATCTGAAAATTCTTATGGGAGCTAATTCATTAACCGAAATTTTGTTATTTGGACCGATCGTTAATCAAGGGACCACTGTATTTTTATTTAATATTTTTTCCACTTTTTTATTAATTTTTATTATTATTACCCTGTATTATTATTATTATTATTATTATTATTATTATTATTATTATTATATTTTTGCCCCCAGGCCCTGATGTGGTTCATTGACCTGTGCCCTGGTGGGCTAATTCCGTAAAAAAAAAAAAATAATAAGGTGATGGTTACGGTAGGTGTCAGCCTCCCTGTACCATCCCTGTCAGCCAAGATGATTATAAAACTGTTGGCACTGTATTGTGTGTCATTTTAGTTTACAGGTAGTTTAAATATAGTATTTAAAAACAGTATTGTACATCAATAAGTATAAAATGTTATTTTGTTTAGTGAAATACTGATGTTAGGCAAGATCTATACAGTACATGTTCTCCTCATTGTTTAACCAGACACTTCCTTAAGATTTTCCATGAGCAAGAATTTTTCTTACATATTACAAAACTTGTGACAGAAAGAGCATTAGAAGCATACAATGGAAATTGTACTCTTCAAAATTTGGTACAGGAGAATACAGAAATATATTACTGTACTAAAAACACTTGGTTATTGTGCAGTGAAAAAGGAGGTCGAGTCAAGGATGAAGGGAAACAACCAACCTTATTGGTTCGGGTGAGGGATTGTACATGGGTGATCGTGGGTCAGAGGTGCGTCTGTTTGGAAGCTGTGAAGGCTGTGGTGATGTGACCCTTGATCCTGAGGTGCCTACAGGCCTGTTGAGGGTAAGATTTCCATCAGTATTTAACTATCAAAAGATTCCGTTTCCTTCGAAATGTTTCCATAGTACACTGTACAGCTTAATTACTAATTAAAATAATTTTTCACAAGTAAAAAATTTTTCTTCTGCATGATTACTCACCATGAAGCAACATACTCCTACAAAAATGAGCAAGAATAGAATTTATACAAAGGCAGAAGACAATAAAGAACTTTGCTGGTGGGAAGGAACCCCCATGGGTGAGAACATTTCAAATTTGCCGATGGACAAGTGTATTGGAAAAATACTACAAGCAGAGCTTCTCAAAGACGTCTAAAGATAAGAAGAAAGTCAGTTACAGATTCTTACAAAATGAGTTGCTTTTATTCAGGGCAAAGTTAAATCAAGAATGGAACCCAAAAGTTTAGACTTAAGTTGTGGTAAGTCTAAAGAAAACATCAAGTGAAAAGAAAGAGGCCGATAAAATATGAAGCACTGTAGTGGCACAGATGGAAAGAATCTTTATAGAAGTGTTTGGGGCTGAGATGTATGGGAGTAAATATAGTACAGTGAGAATGGTTAAGAGAAGATTTGAGGAAAGACTCAAGAGACCTACAGAGAGGTACCTCAACTGAAATGGTGAAAATATTAATAGAAATGGCAAATAATATGAAGAGGAACACAATACAAGAGCAAAAATCATAACAGAAATAACTGAAGAATGTAAATATACTGTACTGCATACTAGTACTTTTGATGAAAAGGAATAAAGAGTAGATATGGTATGAGAAGAAATAATCAGAAAGCAGGAGGTTATAAGCATAAATATTATAGCTCAGCAACCAAGAGGTTTTGTACTGTGCACTTGCTCTGTGTCCTGAGATAATGATGTTACCGCACATGCCAGTTTACCTATACAATACTAATGGGTAAAAGACTGTACATGATGGGTATATTAAAATAAAAAATAAGGCTTCAGTAAATGTGTGTTACATGCTGTGGAAAAATCTATGGAGATAAGAAAACAAGGGGAATGAGTCTCTATGTGTGGGTCTTCAACGCTTACACTGTTCAGTTTTTACCACAAGGAATTAACTTTACCATACAGTATTTTCCTGAGTGGTCTTACCTGAGGCTACATAATAGTTACATGATTCTGCTTCCCTCATCAGCTGAGGTAAGTTTGTTCTTACAAGCTTATAATGATCTAAGCTGAACAAATTCTTGTTCAAACATTTAAATTATAATAAATCACTAACTAGCAGTTTTTATACTGTGATATTATACACACTGTTACACTTACACAGGAAGTGTATAAGTACAGTGTCCCACAATTAAAGCAGTTAATGTGTTCTTGAAAATTAACATGCTAAACAAAGACACACTGAACAAACATATCAATATGTGTAATTAGGGGTGAAGCATATAAACTTGAAAAATGCGCTTTACAGTACAGTATTGACTGGATGGTGAAACACTGAAAATGCAATATCAATTACATGATCACCTTGTTCAAGACACCTAAACCTCTATATCAATGCTGAGTGTAGAACCAAAGTCACACATTATTAACTCATAATACTGAGAAGAGAAGGTAAGAACCAACTTTTATCTGTTACATAAAGTGGATATGTCATAATTAAGGCGTGCAAGAAAGGTAAATTATTACCTAACCTTATCTATCTTACTGGTTGAACTGTTTCCTTGTTGTCACACTAATATACTGTACAAAAACAATTAATAAGTGCAACAAAACCTGGAAGCCTCATTAACTTACCTTTTAGACTGAATTAAATCATTGTTGTTAAACACTAATACTGTAGACAAAGGTCGTTAATAAAAATACAACTACCTGTACATAAAACTGTGTTAACTTTGTTGATGGAGGTATCCACTATTGATCATGATTTAGAATCTGCTTTATTTTGGCAGGGATAAAGCCTCTATTATTCTGAATTATGGAGGTTTTATGGTATTCCTAACCTAAAAATTCTGCTTATCCTAGACACCTATGTATAAAGAACCATTTTGAAATAAATATTTGCTTCAGCTCTAGAAGAGGGAAGTACCGTACTTAAAGCAAAAACTGTTTTAAAATGAAAACACAACTTAAAAGTGGTCTAAATACATGTACTGTACTGTATTCAATGTTCTACTAACACAAGATAGCTTCCATGTTTTGTTAACACACTGACCAAGAGTGAGGGAGAGGACTGTATGTTATATGGTGATCATCCACACGTTGCATTACTCCAAAACTAATGATGGACATAAAAATTAACACTGTTTACATCACAACCCCAAGAGTATGCCACAAGCTCTTCTGTCTGTGTATGTTGGGGAGCTAAAAGAATTAGTGATGATGGTACTTACCTATCAGTGCGGGAAAGGTTCTCACTTGTGGTGAGGTCATCATCATCATCATCATCATCATCATCCTCAAGCATGATGGGAATGATGCGCTCTCTCTTTGCTCTCTGCAGCTGGGCCTCTCCCATTCCATGGGCGGGTCCTACACTGTGTCGGACCTACAGGAGTAATGCATCAAGTGTTACTTTCATTTATACACTTAACAATTTTTTTTCTTTACCTCCCCTTTTTCTGTGCTTAATTTTTTCAGTTATTTTCATGAAATGACTGATCACACAACTGAACTGCTACAACATACACACACACACAAATGGGTTGCATTCTAAAATTTTGTTCATAAGTCCTTCAATCAGAACTCCATTTCTCATAGACACAATGTTATAATTTAGGGTAATGTTCCCATGCCAACCCACAAAAGCCAGTTTTGTCCATAATTAGGCTAAAATATTGAACATCTGCAATGAATAATATACCGGTAGGTTCAATGTGTAAAATCTGGTGTCTATTATGATTTATATTGTGAATTTGTGTCTTTTGCCATTGCAACACTGTCAAAAAGGCCAAGAGATACTCCAATGGGTATCAGTCACTAGAGCAAACACAATTCATTATGATCTAATGGGATTTCTGCTACAGAGTTTTCATTTCAAGCACAATAACTCAAGAGTTCAACAGTTGGTGTAGCAGCCAACCTTACACACGCCTCAACGCAGCTTTGTGTTAGTTTCAACCATTGTTTATTCTAATTAGTGTACAGTACAATGTTCAAGCCATACTTAAAGATTTACTCTACTAAAAACTATGAAATATTTTCTCTCAAAATTCATTACAAAGTAATTATGGAAGATAAAAAAAAAAATCATATAATAAATGAAGTTAATGGCTTCACCTCGGTCTGTACCTGTCCCCCACTAGCAGTGTCGACCAAGGTAGATGTGGACAAGTCTTGTTGGCTCCTGTGGTATTAAGTAGACTGACTGGTCTCAGTGTGGGGACTGTTGTTTCCTCTCCTAATTGTTACTGTGTTTTTATATTCTTACTACATTCTCAAACACACCATCCTTCTTTAACCCTCTCAGCCTCGAAGCCTGAGACACATATGTGCATGAAACTTACGGTCAGCCTCGGAGGTTTATGCCGAAATATTTTTGAAAAAAAATTTAGGGCCCATTTCACTGCCATGGAATTGTTTTATTAATTGTAATGGGGGTCTCTTCTAGCGTAAAATTTTCAGAAAAATTGTATGAAACCATAACAAATTTAAAATTCTTTAAATTTAAGCCACTTTTTTGGAATAAAAGTTGAAAAGGTAGGAAAATGTTTAGTAACATCTCGATTTCCATTCACATTTTCCTTGTATTATATGGTGTTCACTGATATGTACTATATTCCAAAATACAGGTGCTCCTCTACTTACGAACGAGTTACGTTCCTGAGGCTTGTTTGTAAGTCCAACTTTACACTTGTAGATACCAAACATATTGTAAAAACTGAAAAGATTATGGATACTTAGTACAGCTATACCCTTTAATACAGCCTTAAAACCTGACTCACTCTTCTCTTCTTAGGTAATGTTTGTTCTATCTAGAATTTTCTTCAAAATAATCCAGTCTCATCCACATTAAACACCTGTTCTGGCAGGTAACCCCCCCCTCAGTGATGATGTTTGTATCTCTGAAAGTTTGTAAGTTGAACGTTCTTAAGTAGAGGAGCACCTGTAAAGAACGAAGCATGTAGAATATCACGATAAAAAGAAAAATAGTACAATACAAGAACTCGTGGAATAATTAAAGGGCCGAGCGGCACACCCTCCTCTCACTCTAATGGCTAGAGCAACACTGGCTTCATGCTGTTCTGCCATGCACACGATGGCCAAGACCGTCTTAGGGAAGGTGATAAGGCCCACACAAAGAAAACGACGTCTGTCAAATGGCGTCCAAAGTTCAGTCAGTTTCACTCAATAGTTTTTGAGTTATTTGAAAATATAGCCCATAGGACGTGTTGGCACTGCGAGGCTGAGCATAAATTTTTTCACCATTTGTGTTCGACGCCACAATGGCGTCATGCGAGGCTGAGAGGGTTAACTACAACCACAAGTGGTTGTAGTGGTAAAACTACGAATTCATTACACAAATCTTTGACAGTTTCCCATTTCCCTGTTTTTTCGTGCTTGTCACTTCTTGGAACCAACTCTGACTTACCTTCTGACAATTACATCCAATTTCTAAGGTACACCTACAATTATTTCTTTTACTAGAACAAAAATCTTTTTCAGAGTAAACAGTAACTTACTTCTGATCTGTACTCCTGAGTCTTTGGGGTATCTTTGGAGGTGGGAGAAGTCAGCTTGATTTCAGCATATGAGGCCCTCTTGTTGATTAGGTCTGGCTCCTGGGCATCTGGTTTCTTGTTGTTCAGAACAATTTCCAGCTTTGTCTTCTTACGGTCAACATCCTTGGCTTCCTGTGCCTTCTGGGTGGTCTCACCTGGCCCCTGAAATATGGTAATCATAAAACTAATATGAAAATCCATAATTATGTTTAAAAACCATAAGTATAATTGTGGACAATCACTCATAAAATGTCTTGTGTTAAACCATATACCACTCGTTATTAATGTCAGTACAGTATAAGGATACCAGTGTTCAGAAGCTTATTTAATTCTTCTACAAAGAAACTCATAAATAACCAAGAAATAATTAACTTTAGATAAGGACATTTCATAGGCAAGTTTATAAATGACAAAATAATGAATTAAATGTAACTGAAATATTCTAGGAATGACTAACTTCATAAAATTGTCCTAAATGTTGGAAAAGTAAATATAGTATTCACATGAACAAACGCCATGCTAACACACTGACATTAATCAAAAAATTTTAAATGGACCAAAATATATGTTACTGCAAGTATTAATTACAAGGCACATAACATACAGTACACACATTAGCTGCAAGTATTAATTACAAGGCATGGATCACATATATACATTAACCTTCTTTTTGGTGAGAAAGAGATCACATAACCTAACCTATATTTCACTAATACAGTACTGTAGATACATTGTTACTGTACACTGAGTGCTAACTTCTAAAATTTGGGCTGCTAACACTAAACATATCAAAAGTTAGTGCCATTACTATTAACACTAATTTTACTGAAAATATTTTTCTGAAACCACCTCAATACATACTGTATACTGTACAGTATATGTTCTGTCTTAAGTAATCAATTTAAACAAGAATAGAGTTCCTTTCATATGCAGTATACGTACTGTACAGTTAATGAAAAACAAACCAGTGGAATCATGGACAAACACTGGTCAATGGATACATCTATATCACTGAAACAAGGCCAGGGGTTGAAACATGTTCCTCTTATCACTGGTGTCTGTCTATGAAACACTAGTGGCAGGGATTTCATCACTTTAGACACATTATGACTGGTCAGACAAATGCAAAACACATCAACTCTGTGACTGCTATGTCCAAGCCCTAGTTGATGTTATGCTTGGCATCATATCCTGTCTGCAATAGGCAACAGTTTGTTTAATTACAAGTAGAATCATGAATACGGTAATATCTCCGTTAGCCAGAATCCCTCAAACCCGAAAGTCTCCAATAGCCGGAATTGAAATTTTCCGAGGGGCACATTTTCCAGAAATTTACGAGAAATTTTTCTTGAAACCCGGAAAATTCCAGGGGTGGGGGACATTTTTCCAGGTTTGAGCGATGTTGTAATGGGCAATTTC